AAGCATGCATAGCTATCAACTGTCTTACACTGTTGTATTTTGTTATGTATTTTAAACTGAAAAAGGAACTACGATTTCTTTTCAAGTTCATTTGAATAATATGCCAAGCCACCTGATGAATATCACGAAGACTCGTCAGTACGTTGAGGGTCATTATTTAGCCTGATGCTGTCTGCTACATCCGTTTGTCGACCTGTATGAAGTCTTATGTTGAATTTGTCTATTCAAGACACTCAATGAATATTTACAAAATCTGCTGCCGTTAAAATATAAAATTTATTAAATATATTTAGGTTTGACCTATGAATATTGACGTAGGTTTGTGTATTGTGTTTGTAAATCCAAAATTCAATCACATTTCACTTTCTTTCACAATAGTGTATGAAAGATACTTTCAGTGACACAATTGTATAGGGGCGGTGGGGTAGCCTGGTGGTCAAAACGTTGGCTCGTCAAGCCGAAGACCCGGGTTCAATTCCCCACGTAGGTACAATGTGTCAAGCCCATTTTTGGTGTCCCCCGCCGTGACATTGCTGGAATATTGCTAAAAGCCATGCTCACTCACTCACTCACAATTTCTGTATTGACAATCGTTCATAATTCTTCCTGCAAAAGATATATGTGATTATGAATATTTTTAGGCAGCCATATCATTTAGCGCAGATAACAATGACAGTGTTTCTGGTGCAACATGTTCCTTAGCCTCAGCAGTGGTAGGGTTAGCCCTGAGTTCATGCACAAGTAGAGCTCTCTTGACTTCCTGTTTTAGTCCTGTGCCTGTGCCTCATTAACTGACTAAAAATAGACATGCTTAACTTAAAACAACAATATGTCAAAACATATTCATTAATGATGGACTCTGTATTGTATATAATCCCATGAAGCATCGGTAATGTACATACATAGAACGTCATACTAGTGCATTTGGATGCATTGTATTGAACTCGAAGATGTCATGAGAGCAGAGAAACAACAAGTTCGAAGAACATGACATATCTGTATTCTTCGAACTCATTGTTTCTCTGCTCCCATGACGTCTTCTTGTTCAATACAAAACATCCAAATGCACTAGTATGACATTCTATCTTTATTATATACTTTCTTATCTTGCATTAATCTGTTACTTAATAAAACAAATCATAGCGTAGAGAATGTAGAAACGTCTGGGGTTCAATACGGAATCTGGGGTTCAATACGGAATCTGGGGTTCAATACGGAATTTGACCACGACATCCGTATTGCACCCCTGTATTACTGTCCTAAGTTTACATGGGTATGTAATAAAGTGACAAATGTCTGGGTTAGTTTATACGAGAAAAGACTGGCATTTCGGGGCGGTTCTTGGCATGTCTCCTCCTTCACCTCCTTCCATGTGTCTGCTTATTACACTAGATGACCGCACACCTGTGTGGACCGAAGACATGGACAATCGAATCAGTTGCTGTCTCAAGTTAGGGCGTGACAGAGGATTTTTGCGCCCTGAAGACTCTGTGATCATTGTAACGGGATGGAAGCAGGGATCCGGGTACACCAACACTCTGAATCATCACCGTCCCTGATCAGGATGGGATGCCCATTGTGGGAACACCCATTATAAAGAACTACAATGATTAGCTGACCAGGAGCTCAGACAAAGGAAAAGGACCTTTACTCTGTTGCACAAAGCTATCCTAGCACTAAGGTGATTGTAACTCCTATATATATGCATGGTTTTACAATAGTCGTAGTGTTAAGATTGCTTTCTGCAGCAGGGCACGAGGGGTTGGTGCAGTTGCAAATGTTAAAATGTGCATCATGTCAGAAACTTGTTTAGAAATTATTGATGCAGAAAGGTCCTTGATGAACATGACCTTGAAGAATGCTGTTTCTTGTAAAGCAGCAATAGAAACTAATATTTTTAGTGCACTTATGATGATTTGCATATGTTAAAGCTGAAATAGATAGCATTATCTTTAAAATACTCATCAGATATCTACAGGCTTCTGTAACATGCTGCTGTTTGATGTTTTGTTATTTTGGGCTTAGCTCTAAATTCTGTCCATGTTAGCTTTATGATGGTAAGGTTTGTTTCAGGGCAATTAAAGAAGTCCTTTCAACTGCCCTCCTTAGTTAAGCAATTATACATGTGAATTATGCTGGTGAATTCTGAGATTATTTGTGTGTGTGAGTTCTGGTGAATTCTCAGATGTGTATGAGTGGTTATAGGGAGATGGTTCTGTGAATTCTTTATGGTTCTGTTCATTCTTCCAGAATTTAGCTCATGTGAGTGTTGGTCAGATGTTAGGATGGATGGGTTCACTTTTTTAATACATTCACTTACAAGCACAACAATAGTATTATTCTGTTGTCACTGCACCCTAACTAAAGCTCATAGCTTCTGCTTTGTTCTGTCAAGCTCATTGGCCCTTGTTTGAAGTTATTGTCAGGACCAGAATGTATTTAGTGGCCTGTTTGGTGGATGGTGCAATGAGCCGGTGTGGTCCAGGTCCGTTCCTCAAAGCGCTCATAGCTTCTGCTTTGTTCTCGACAGTTGGCGTTTGAAGTCTGTGTTAAAGTAGGAGTCACGATCGTCTTAGCGCTACGACTGTCGTAAGTCTATGTTAAAGTATAGGAGTTACGATCATCTTAGCGCTACGACAGTCGTAAGCCTATGTTAAAGTATGGGAGTTACGATCGTCTTAACGCTACGATCGCTTTGTGGAACAGGGCCCAGGGCCTAGAGTTCCGAAGCTCTCTTAGTGTTAAGATAGTCGTAAGTGTCATATATTAACATTAACTTACGACTATCTTAGCTTTGAGAGAGCTTTGAAAATCTAGATCCAGGGAAGTCGAATATCTGTGTACGGCTGGAAGTTGGTGTCAGAATTTCCATACTACATGATGCAGCAATTGAATTTGGTGCAATTTGTCCTTGAATATACAAAAATGAAATGACAAACATATTGTGGATAAAAAGGGAGACCAGGGCTCCAGATAAGGGCCGTATCGGCGTATATCTACGAATAATAAATATGCACGCTACGGTAGGAAATAATTTAGAAAACGTAGCAGATACGCACCGCAGCAATGGTGTACAGACTAAGAATCATTTACAGACGTATTTATGTGAAAAAAAGTATTGTCTTATTGTGTTTTGACCTGTTTACACAAGAGTAGCAATGTTGTGGTGCATATATGAAACGCATACCCCATTAAATTCCATTCAGTACTCTAAATGTACTCTTAAGTTTTTCTTACTAGTACTCCTATATTTAAAAAATAAGGATCCTGGTGTTGAAAAATTATGGAGCCCTGGGTAGACTGCAGAATTGAAATCAAAAGGAATAGTGCATTGGTCATTTATTGTTGCTGAGGTGAATTGTGTGGTTTGATTAGTGATGGGGAAGTGGGGTCATGAAAAAATCACTTCTATTAACTCAAATATTTGAACCATAGGGAATGGTCATATATTGTGGGACGAAAAGTCATGAAAAAATATGACATATTTTGAGGGGTCATGAATCCGTGGTTGGGGCGGAAGTATGGCAGAGAAGCCATGTTTAAAGTCTCTCAGTTTGTAAGCATGTTGTTGTTCTATGGTGTTGAAGATGATTCTGTTTGTTTGTTTGTTTGTTTGTTTGTTAGAGGTAAATAATCTCCTGGAACAGTTCAGTGCTTTTTGTGAAGCATCACAGTTTTAGTGATCTTTTTTACATCAGATTTCTTTTCTTACGTTATATTTGCATTAAAAATATTTTACCAGCAACTTTTTTTAACACGAATATTGAAAAATAAAACTTGGAAACATTCATTGATCTGTTATTTCAATATGTGGTTTGAAATAGTCATGACTGGATTATCAATGGACATTATTATGGTTCAGCTTCTCTGAGGTTTCAGTCTGTTGTTGATAGTCAAGCTGTGCTACTTTGAACCTGTTCAAAGGTAACATCCCATGGGGATTGATGTGTTTGATTTGCTGTTTGACGCCATTTTCGGCAATATTCCAGTGATATGGTAGCGTTCAAGTCTGGCCCAGACAATCCAGTGGTCATCAAGAGCATCGAACTACGCAGTTGGGATCAAGGACATATGTCAACCAAGTCAGCGAGCCTGACACCCAATCCCTCTTGCATGTGTTTTGCTGAAGACCTGTTCTAACCCAGATCATCAGGATTGATCTGTTGAACAAGGTCCCTGCGACTCATGCTGGTTGCACAGGGCATTCAGATGGATCTTGGTTAGGAACTGCGACGTTCAGTGTGGTTTTAGTTCTTAGTATCGATCATTGGATTGTCTGAATACTTACAGGCCACCATCATTTAGCTGGAATATTGCTGTGGGTGGTGTTAAACAACAAACAAAAAGTGAAATTGTTAGTGCTGGAATGATTGATCAAATGATAGGTCAGTCGATTGATCTCACTTGCGTCAACAATCAATGGACTCACAAGACTAATCACTGTAGTTGGTGGGAGGTCGTATTTATTGTAGTGATGACTCAACACACAATTTATAAAAACATTTCCCCAGACCGTTTTTGTAGATCACCATATAGAGAGAGAGGATTGGATGGTCAGGCTGACTCGGCTGCCGCATGTCATCTTTCACCAATTGAACAGATCTATGCTGATTATATCAACAACTGCATTGTATAGTTCAAGGCCCCATTTCAGAAAGATATTGTAGCCGTACAACTGCCGTAAGTCTATGTTACAGTATAGGAGGTATTACAGTCATAATGCTACGATAGCTTTGTAAAACGGGGCCCTGAATTGATGAGTTGAAAGATCACAGTCATATTGCAGCTCAGCGTTACACTAATGTGAACAGCCAAGGGAAACAGCATGCACACAGAATTATCAGGTGTCCATAATGTCTGGATCATAGAATTAGCCTTGATAATTATAATATAACAAATTTTGTGCCAGTTGTTCATTTGAATGTTCGTTCCATTTGCATTCTTATCGGCTGTAGTACTTGATTTATTTACTAAACTAAACTAGATGTTTTGTTCAGCAGATCGAGGCTTCAGCCCGGAGGATCTTGACTCGCTCACAGGTCCATTTTGTTGTATTTGTTGTTGTGAATTTGTATTGGTTGACTGCACATTCTTTTCCAGCATGGATCTCATGACCATCTCATCAACCAATCAGAAAAGAGTATTTCATTGCATTGCCACATGGTCTTCAGCATCTTAGTTTTCATGCTTACCACTCTGTGGTATGAAGCAAGTCTGTACTGTGGAAGTCATAGCTGCAGACAGAATATCAACAACTATGAAAGTAAACTTGAAAACCTTGACTGGGAAGTATTCAGTCAGCATGCCCACAGTGATGATAGATTCACCTTTTCATGGGATAATAGCCTGGGTTATCGGTACTGTTGTTGCGTCAAAACATGCACAATTTTATTTTTGTTTTATGAAAGGGGCTCAAATAATATACTTGAATTCACAATGTTTCTTTTCACAACATCCACCGAGGAGTTGTATATTTTTGTCGGGTAAAACCTTAGGCGTTGATTGTGTCCATTTATTCATGGAACAAATTATTCCAGACCGTCTGCAAGTATTAAATGGTAGATATGTTTCAGAATGAATTACTCTCATGTCCATGACAATATCATTCTGCAAGACCAATTTATGAAATGGATTGCAGGTAATTTGTTTCAAGTATATTTTGTTATTTGTTGTTCGGTTGCTTTGTTATTGTTGTATTTTTGTTTTGTTTGTTTATTTTATTTGGGGGATGGGGGCTATTGGTTTCAAGGTGATTTCCAGTGCCAAAATGTAATGCATTCGTGTGTACCACAAAGTGATGTTCTGCTATGATGATGGTAAACCTATATTAAAGGTTACAAACCCTTTTGTGGTTTGTGAAGCAGTTTCATAGTGTGTAAATGGGTATGCTGACCTGAAAAACTACCTAAGCTTATTGTGAGCTCGTAAACAAGTGTTTCAGATTACCTTGTAATCAAAAATTTTGACCCCCTCAATATTTGTTATGTGTCTTCAATTCTGGGGTCTGTGTAGCATACCAATCGTGTTGCTATGACTGCAGTATGCTGAATCAACCACGTCTTCATCATCACAATCATCTTGCCACCCTGCTGGCTTGTTCCACAGAGCAGTCTTACATAATACATACTTACCCTTTTAGCAAACACTTGATGTCATAACTGATTTTCAGTGAATTATATGCTGTTCTCTATTTCACCTTGTCCTTTTACGGCCTATGAAATTTATTTCACAGGTATTTGAGACTGAATAATTCTCTGTTTTTGCTGTTTCGAATTTGTGACAGTTTATGAGATTTCTTTGTGGAATGGGACTGTCATTTGCCCGTGAGCTACTAATTCATGCAGAACCTGATCCTAACAGAAATGACGTGTTTTTTGTGTTAAAGCATGGAGTTGTCCTTCGTGACAAAATGTTTCTTTACGCTTATTGACATGTCCTCTCTCTTTTTCCCCCAAATCAAGACGAAGCAGCCGGCTCGGGTAACTAGACTTTTTTTTTACAATATTTAGTCTTCATTAATCCCATGGATGCTCTGATTAATATGATTAATAGTTTGAGTATTGCATGCTTAGTAGTTTGTATTTGTCACAAGAAGGGTCTTGTGTAGGTGTGCTTGTCTTACATTCCACCTTTGGCGTCAGTGTGGCAGTACGTGTTACATCTAAAATCATGGCAACTGCCAGGTGGCCTAGTGGTTTAAGTGATTACTTGTTATGTTGAAGTCTTGGGTTCTCTTCCTTAAATGGGTTTCCCCTGCTATGGCATTGATTGAATATTGCTCGGAGCTGTGTAAAACAGGACACTTGTTAACTCTGTGGACTTTGTGGTTAGGGGATACACATTATTCTTATTGTAACATATGACGGAAATGAATGAGTGTGTTGATTGAAGCTTTGAGCAATATTTCATCTATGTCATGACATGGCAGCTTGTTGTGGGAGAAAAGCCTGAAATTGTGACGGTGCTAATGGTTTGGTGAAGCTAGCGAACACAGGTATGGTGCTGAGAAAATCTGGAAATTGAAACAGTCAGGATTCAAACCCTTGCTCATCAGTTTCTGGCATGCACTGTGGGACCACATGATCAGTTGGACAGCAAAGGGACACAACTCTGAAAAGTGAAATGTAGTGCCTTGGATGGTTCCGCAACTCTTCCCCAGAAATGAGGAGAGATTGGTCAGATAGCTTATGTAGCTGGGTAGCAACCACCAAATAATGCTAACATTTGCCTGTGACCATGTGAAACACAAACAGCACTTTCTGCTTTCTAATGGAGCCCGCCGAAATGGGTATCGATGGTGACATGGCTGAAGGGGTGGTTGGTTAAAGTGGCTAAGTGTTCACTAGTCAAAGACCAAGGTTTGATTTCCCACATGGGTACAATGTGTGAAGCATACTTCTGGTTTCCCCAGTCATGATACTGCTGGGATATTGCTAAAAGCGATGTAAAACCATATTCACTCACTACAAGGCTGTTTTCTGACCATATTTGAATATTCAGAGGGAGCCAAGATATTCTTCTACAATGGAATAAGAATCGGCCAGTTGCAAACTTGTATTAAGACTTAAATGATTGGGTTGTCAGCCATGGTGACTTTGTTAAAATTCCCACCACTATCTGTAGTTATCATGTCTCTGGTCTCCATGCTAACTTTGTCACACACTTTATTTGCCACAGTAATTCTCCTGGACTCATGGAAAATTGACAAATGGGGCACTTACTTAACTCTTCACAAGAACTTAGACTGGTTAGAGTCAGCTGTAGGGAACAAAATGGGGATCATTTCCTTCCATGTGTTCTTTCTTTACCCGCTTCCCACCCTTACCACCACTGCTGGAATACTGCTTTAAGTGTCATAACGTTTGGTGCTTTTTGTATTTGGCTTATCAGATGATATTCCAGCACTGATTAACTGTGAGTTTGCATTGAAAGCACGCTTTACATAATTTTTCAGGAACGATTGTAAACATGAGCCTATATGTTTGGACATTCGAAAGTTAATGTTTTGTGTTACTGCTCAGCGCCCTGTTCCTCTAAGCAATCAAAGCACTACAAGTATGGCTATGTTACGGTATGAGTGTTACCAGTGTCTTAGCACTACTATCACTTTCTGCATCAAGGTCCTGATGAACTTTAGTAGTTGTGTTCCAGTGCCCATCCACCGCCTCCGTGGTGTAGTGGTTAGAGCGTCCGCCCGGAGAGCGGAAGGTCGCGGGTTCGATCCCCGACCGCGTCATACCAAAAGACGTTAAAATATGGTACTTGTTGGTCCCTGCCTGGCGCTCGGCATTATGGGTACAACAAGGACTGGTCGGCTCGGAGTCAGTATAATGTGTCTGAGTGGGGTATTCATGCTTCACTGCGGCATGGTATCTCAGTGGGCTAGCACTATAAAACCAGCTGAAGTCTGGGCTAGTACAAACAGACGCACATACACATACACACGCATGCACGTCGTCATATGAGCGAAATATTCTCAAGCAAGACGTTAAACCCCATTTCACCTCACCTCCAGTGCCCATCCAAAGCTGATTATCCTCGAAGTTTACAATTACAGTAAATCATACTGATAGTTGTCAATACACTCATCTAGGGTAATGGACCCTTTTGTGTTTTCCTTCTGGACAGGGATTTTGGTAATTGTTGGTAGTTGCCAAATGTTACAAACCACATTGAATGTCTTGTATGATTTACTGTTGAAGGCCTATTTTCATTGTGCCAGCAGAGTATCAGAACAGACTCTTCTGCAGTGCTGCCTTACCATATTCTGACGGACATTCTTCCCACAAACATGGAATTCCTTTTGTGACAGAAGTTGACTCTGTTGCACCCTCTCAGGATAGATATCTACTCCTGTTGCACCACCTACACACAGAGACTCCTCTGTTTGATATATCCTGACTTGTTGTGCTGAGTTTGTGGAACTGAACTAAATTAACTTGTGCAAGCTAAACACCTGAACCACTGTAGCCATTTCTGTGTCCATTCACAACAGTGAATGCTCATCGTTTATCATGGACTGGGTCCTGTTTCACAAAGCTATCGTAGCGCTACGACTGTCGTAAGTCTATGCTACAGTATAGGTGGTACGATTGCTACGAGAAAAATTACGAGATCTTAGGCTTACGAGAGCTTTGTGAAACGGGGCCCAGGTTGCTAGGGCAGCCATGTGGCATTCACTCAACATAGCAAAGGCCTGGATTCGATTCCCCACATAAGCACAATGTGTGAAGCCCATTCCTGCTGTCCCTGCCATGATATTGGTGTAATATTGCTAAAAGCATCATAAAACCCAACGTGGACATGTGACGGTCTCAAGGCTGGGGTTGTTTGGAGGAAGATGACATTTATATAGGTCCAGTTGGTATAGGCCCCAATTGGCTGGGCAGTCATATCAATCCCTTTATTGTAAGTCCCAGTCCTCACCATGAATTTACCTCAGAGATTGCTTCAAGGAGGCCCGAACTGTGTTTGAGAATCAATGCTCTGACATGCTATGCTCGCCCCGAAAAGTGACTCTGCAGTGTGTGTTGACAATTGATCTTTACACCTTGTCAAGCTGATGTGTGTCTTACTGTCATTGTTCTTTATGGGGCCACAAATATGTTGTCTTATTGTGTTTTGTGTTTTTTGTTTTGCTTGATTGTAACTTCTGCAATTTCTTTGTGTCACTTCAGACTAAGGTAATGATTTAATGCTGTTCAAAGTATTTTTGTTATGTTGAAGAATAGCCATTGGTTCTCAACTAAAGACTTCAAAGTGTCAGTTGGTTGGCAATTATTCTCTTTTGTGAAATGTAAAAAGAATGCGGCCAAAGTGTCAGAAGTTACATGTTTTGTCTGAAAAGTAAAGAAAAGTAAACTGCCCAGAGAGCAGTTCAGAATAATTCATTCTTATTTTCAAATAGTTTTCTGCAGACATTCAGACTTTACTTGAAATATTCAAATGTTTTGGTTTGTTTTATTGTTTATAATGACCAATTTGTATGATGATCGGTGATGGAAAATAAATAGTGATTAAATGCCAGGTTGATCAGCTGTTTGCAGTTCTATTGGGACAAATGGACAGGGTACTCTTGTGCAAAGTGATGTTAGGGCCACGTACTCCCATACTCTGACAATAGTTGTAGCGCTGAGATCACTTCCTGCAAGTGGGCCCTGCTCATAGTACAGCTGGATAGCTTTAAATCTTCTATTGGCTTTCTAAATGGATGACTATTTGGCTTTAGTCAAGTGCAGCATATTTGACTATGCCAAAATTGCCAACAATGAGTGGAACTGTTATATTTTGGTGATAAGTGCCTGATACATACAAAGTCCTTTCAGTAGGTATGAAATACATCATATTCCATGTGTTCTCGGGAACGAAATACACTTACCAAGTATATGCTAATGATATATGTAAACATTATTTCAACGGTTCTTTTGTTAGGTGTTTATTATGGGGTTTTTTGTGATAGGAAGATTTACACAGATTGTCCAGCATGTGTTGTTTATAGAACCTAAAAACATCACCTGTGCATGGCAACCTGACAACTAACCCATGATATCATTGTCAATATGTCTTCTTTGTGTAGAATGTGTTCATCCAACACCTGTACATGGCAACCTGACAACTGACTCATGATATCATTGTCAATATGTAATGTCATGTTTGTTTAGAATGTGTTCATAACAAAACTTGTGCATGGTAACCCAACTATTGAAAAATGGATCCATGATGTAGTTGCCAAAGTGTCATGGGTTTGTGTAGAATGTGTTCCTTTCACACTTGTGCAAGAGAACCAGAGTTTTGAATAATGGATAAATGATGTCATTGTCAGTATGTCATGTGGTTATGTAGAATGCATTCTTTCAACACATGTGCATGGGAACCAGACTGTTGAATAATGGACTCATGCTGTCATTGTCATTGTGTCTTGGGTTTGAACACTATGCATTCCTGTCAAAACATGGACATGCTATACAGAGTAGGCTATTAAATAATTGTCACATGTCAACAATCACCCTTTAGTACATACAGACGCTCCGTCATGTAAAGGGATATGTTTTGAATTTTAGTATTCGTTTGACATGAGACTGTTTATTCACACAGTAATACTCTGTTCATTAACTTTGTTCAAACCCAACCGTTGGCCACAGGTTTAAGAGTTTCAAGGTTTAATGCTGCCACCCCATGTTGCACTTATTTCCAGTGTAACGGATCATAGGTCTATGCACGTGCAGGAACTAGGTTACGAATTGCTATGACAGTTAAGAATATGGACAACATTGCAAAGCTGTCGTATATATTCAGTCTTGATGGAGGAAGGTTACGTTGACAAACATGTAAGCAAAAGTGACAATACCATGGCTGTCCCAAATTCCCTTTCTTGCGAAATTAACTAAAATATGAACATTTAATTGCTTCCTTAATTCAGTAATATTCCAAATTACAATGACTAAATTTTCATAGACACTGGTAAAAATTGGTTCATTATTTTAAGCTTACATTGTTTGCTTTGATTGGCTGGTATGAAGTATAATTATAGTGTGGCATCTGTCCCATCAATATCCACAACTGTTGTAGTCAAAATAGAATCTACACAATGAAATTATCCCACCTTAACCCTCTTACGTCCATGACAGCTGTATTTTTGGACTCTGGTGTCTCCGAACAGAATGTTTTTACCAAGTGCAGATGTTGTAGTTTGGGAAAGTTGCTCTGAAACCTCATGCTAACTATAACATCAGATGAGCCTTAAGGGTGTGACCATGTTTTATCGGATTGTCTCCAGCGTGAGCTCATCTGATACTAAACTACCTGAGGGAAGTCCATCTATATCATAAAATGTAACTGTGTAATGTCAATAACTTGAATGTATCTGCTTTTCAATCTAGTGCTATGACATTCTCTGTTCTAAAATGACAACGTAATGAATGTATGTCTTTGAAACGAAACCACTTTGTACTTACAATGTATATTAATGCAGACTTGTTCTCACTATATGGCTGGAATAATGCCGATGTGATGTAAAGCCCAACTCAACTCAACTCAACAACTTATCGGATTGTCATCACAGGCGGCTGATGTGGTTTGTCGCTCATTCTTTTAACCACAGGTTTGTTTAGTCCACACGAATATTTCAATATGATATAGCTGATATATTGTTGAAGCTTTACCGATTCATGCACTCTCCCTTCAAAAGATCCATACATATTGTAGTGTGAGAGGAAAGTCATACATGCACCTATAAAGAAGAATGTCAATTTTTTGCAGATGAGCGCATGAATGAATGGACTGCCGATGTTGACCGTCGCATCTGGAGTGCCATCAGCTCAGGGATGGGCCGTGGCTTTATCAAAGAAGGAGACTCAATTGTGGTGATGACCGGCTGGAAGCCCGGGTCCGGATCCACCAACACCATGAGGATCATCACTGCCACGGAGATGAAGGACAAGGAGCTCCTGCCACCCATCGTTGGCATCTCCAGCATTCCTAGTTTAAACAAGGAAGCCTCTGATGCAGGTGCCAGTGCAGAGAAAGGAAAGGATGTCAAATTCTTCTAATGGAGAAATCTTTTGTAGGTTATTGAAATCTGGCTTGAGGATGTCCTGGGTGGTGGAACTGTATCCTTGCTGGTAACTGTATTTTAGCACAACATGTTCAGTCAATGTAAACAGAATTCAGCTGTCCAATCGAGGACTCTTGAAGGAAGAGTCTTGAAATTTCTTCAGGGCACATGATTCTGCTAGCCATGTCATCCACAAGCCACTTTCATGGCCTACATGTCCCCACCTACCCTGTTGTGGTTTAGGTTACATGTCACCTAGTGCTGTTAACGTTTATTCAAGAATGCCATTTGTTGTAGGTTCTCTGTTAAAGCTACACAGAGAAGAGGCTTGGAGGTTTCACACATATGTTGTATTGTGTCTATTGGGGGAGCATGTCCAGTTCTCTTGCCTAACTGTTTGCTGTAGGTTCTCTGTTACAGCTATCCAGAAGAGGTTTTGAGGAGTGTCACACCTTTGTTGTGTGTATCTGAAGGCCATGTCAAGATGGAACAGGTTCATTTCTTTAAGTGTTATCTTGTCTTCATGCTCCATTTACAAGTGGAACTGGCAGTGAAAGATCTGCCTTGTAACGAACAATACTATCTTGGATCATTCAGCTTTTGAACTACACAAACGTTATACATTCTAAAAGTAACACCGATAGATAATGTCACAATGTATGTGTGGTAGCTTTAAATACAAGATATGATTGTCAAGATTCAGTGTTATTCATATAACCTGGATCTTTGAAGTGTTGTTACAGGTTTAATTTAACCTTTTGAAACAATTGAACCTGATTTGTTGGTAGGTCCCTATGTTTAGATGATCCTGTTTGACTCACTGGCTGAGTCTTGTATCCTGACCAATACTAGTAATATTATACAAAAGACGATCAATGATCTTGTTAAGTTAATGATGTTGGTAACTGATGATAATACTGCTCAGTTGTCAAATACTGGAACCTGTGAAACGAATATACGATCTGTGATAGAGGATCAGTGATCAAGATACTAGTGTATGGTGAATGAATCTGTGCAAAGGGAGACATCAAGCAACATACATGTAAATCTATATTATGTATATTTGTTTTCTTTTTCAATCATGACATCGATATTGTCATTACTGTCTTGTTAAGAGAACAAATTTTGCAGATTCGACTGCTAAAGAAACAGCACCAAAAGAAACTGATTCCGTAATTGTTTGTTTTCTGTTTTATGTCATTATTTTTAGCCACATGACACAATTTTTGGTTGGAACTTGACGTCTGCCAGCAGTAGTATTGGTAATGACCACTACACAAAGATAGTTGATGTTAGAGATTATTGTTTATTCTCCAAATGGGAATGCCTTTGGCACATGCATTTAGGTTAAAGATCAAGGTAATGAAGTAGAAGAACCTCACTTATGGCTACTTTCTTAAAACTTATTAATACATCTGAGATTAAACTTAAAACTTATCTTCTCTAAAATGGGGAACTGATTTGAAAAGGTTACATTGAAATTTCAAGGTAAACATTATTATATTGTCGAATTCGGAGGATGGTTACCTTTCTTTGCACATGTAAATTTATATTTGCAAGTATTTACAAGTTGTATCATATGTAATTTTGGTGCTTTGTAAAATTGGTTAGTATAAGAGCCTGAGACTAGGGTAACTGTTAGATCTTGAGGAGTTTCTCTTCAATGTCTTCCAGGCCTGGCAGTAATGTTTTTGGACCAGAATTACATTGTACTTGAAGACTTTTAAGTTTTTAGAGTGCTCTTACGGTATATATATTATATTATATTATATTATATGTACCAAAGGCCTTTTTTCTGTACCAAGTAAAGATTGATTGATTGATGCTTAAGTTGACTGAGCTGGTCCTTGTTTTGCAAGTAAAATTCAAGCGCTTCTAGTTTTTCAAACTTCTGTTTTTCTTCTGACTTACCCTAATGTATTTGGCAAACATCTGGTGATGGTTAGAGATGTGTGGATTTATTTAACCTCCTTCAAATGATGGAAGCTTGTTATGTTATAGCTAGGTGTCTTTTCAGATGTGTAACAAACCTTATTTAATAACCCTAAACATTTGCCAAAGTTTCTTTATCTAATACCTCAGAGTGAAGGGTGTCAGTCCATTATGTGGACATGGCCTGTGTGTGAATGCATTATGGAATATGAATGATTGTGTAACATTCTGTATGTCTTGCAGAAGTGTATATTCCAAAATACCCTGCTATAGCTAGTCGTTTTCAGGACATGGCATGTTAGGGGACTTGTTGATTTCCTAGCATTACTGCAGTTTATAGAACCCCCTGCTAATGGATGTAATATAGTTATCAATATCTTATCTCTGAAGTAGCCTTAAATCTATTCTATTTTACTCTTATTACGTGTTTATTTTGTTGACACTTTTGACTTGAGATTATCAGAATGTGTGTTTGCCATTTTGAACAAAGAAGTTATCTACATATTTTACCTGGAAGATTTTAGTTGTTCTCCTAGATGTGCTGTCACAATTAAACGCTATGCTCACAGTCTAACTAATCACAAGCAAAAAGTTGGGAGCAGGAGTGTCAGACGTCGAAGGTGCAAGTGTTCACTGCAGAGTTTGGGATTTCCTCCCACTCAAGCTGACACTTACATTGTGACGATCAAAACAAAGGCAGGATACATTACACAGAAAGTGAAAGGACAGTCGTCAATATGAGTAGCTTACAGTTCCTTATATGATGGACAAACCAATTTGTTTTCATGATTTTCTTGTCATTTCTGTTGGACTGAATAAGATAATACTATTTGATTATTTCTATGAAAACTACAGGGCATGTCTTGTCTAATGATATTGCAAATTGTGTTACTTTCATGAAGATTTTGAAATAAGATTGGTTTGTCTGAAGACTTATTGTACTATGTGTTCCTGGTGTTGCCTCAAAGGAAACCCGGTTATGCTTTGATAATTTATTGTTATTATTATCTAACAAAGCTGTTTTTATCAATCAGAGTCATCTAATGAGTGCTGTTGGTTATCTAATGAACTGACTTATTTGTTTTGTTTGATACAGCAAGGGAGATGAGTTCACCAGCAACAAGTACAGGTTGTCGGTCTACTTAAGGAATTTACTCTTGTTTTCGGCACATCTGTACCTGTTTTGGTGTCCCTCCCTCTGAGCATGTTTTACCAAGAGGTGCAATGTATAAGGCAGTTCACTACCTATGCTGTTTCCCCTGTTTTAGTCTAACACATCTAAACATAAATAAACATTATAGTGAGTGGCAAAGATGTGTGTTGGGTTTTCTGTTTCATTCAACTCTTCAGTGGTACTGTTTCATCAGTATGACAAAAGAGAAGATGGTCTTTGTTGTGAATAGTAAAGGTGACTAATTGTAGCCTGTTCAGTCGCATTTTGTAGGGATTGGTTCTACTAGATTATTGCAACAGTCTGCTTCAGGGCATCAGTGGAAAACTGCTATCTAAGCTACAGGTAACATATGTTATATTTGGGATTACACTTTCTCAGTAAAGTACAGCTTCTTGTACTTTTGTTGGGTTGAGTCCCATGCGGGTTCGAACCCACATCCTCAGAGTTAGGCACCTAATCGCCAGCACAAAAAGTCAGCCGCCTAACCCACTCAGCCACGCTGAGAAAGTGTAATCCCAAATATAACACATGTTACATTTGACCACTTTCTAAATGGCACTGTGTAATCATAGCTTTCGGCCATGGGAGCCATGCCAATTTACACTTATCAGAGGGGCGGTGGGGTAGTCTAGTGGTTAAAGCGTTGGCTCGTCACGCCGAAGACCCGGGTTCGAATCCCCACATGGGTACAATGAGTGAAGCCCATTTCTGGTGTCCCCCGCCGTTATATTGCTGGAATATTGCTAAAAGTGGCATAAAACCATACTCAGTCAGTCAGTACACTTATCAGAGGGGTACACAAAGTCTGCAGTCTAGACTACCAGTTGTCTGACTTCCATTTTTGTGGAAGTTGCGGTGGCTGAGCGGGTTAGGCGGCTGACTTTGTGTGCTGGTGATTAGGTGCCTGACTCTGAGCGTGTGGGTTTGAATCCCGCATGGGACTCAACCCAAAGTACTAGAATCTGTAATTTACTGAGAAAGTGTAATCCCAAATATAACATGTTACATTTGACCACTTTCTAAATGGCACTGTGTAATCATAAGCTACAGGTGTTGCAAAATTCTGCATTACGTGTCATCACAAGAACAGCAAACATGCACATGACACGAGTCCTCAGAGACCTCCACTGGTTGCCAGTAAAAGCTAGAATAGAGTTCAAGCTTCTCTGTATCACCTTTCAATGCCTCCCTAACACCAGCCCTGACTACAATCTGAACTCTTGACTCCATACGCTCCAGCACATAAACTCCGATCAAATGATAGTTCCTAATTATCGACTGGAAACATTTGGCTCCAGATCCTTCTCCAGCATTGCCCCTAGAGTTGAAAATGTGTCAAGCCCTTGAGCAATTCAAATCAAGACTGAAGACCCATATGTTCTACAAGTATCATAGTGACATTTAAATCCAGTGAAGACTTACTAACTTTTATCTGACAATCCCCTTGTAGCAGGCATATTTGTCTGGATTGCATGCATTATAAATGCACATGTATTATTTATTTATTATTACGTTTTACAGATTAAAAGTAGTATGCACCAGAGATGGTTCGGGTGATCCTGGCACATTCAGGCTGGTAAGGCTCATCATCAGCTCAGGGCCCTGGACCCCTCTACACACAACCCAGACAGCGAATGGGACTTCTCCCAGGAAACGCTGCCTAGTCAAACTCGCCAATAACTGTCCGGAGAATATGTAGACTCCCCAACACTGCAGCCTTCTGCATTACCCAGAGTGTCAGAAGGGCTGTGCTCACGTTGGAGAACCCAGGCACTCTCATGATCTGCGCCAAGAGATCAGGAGGTACCAAACCAAGGGCACCTAGAACAATGGTGAGCCTGATGACAGTGTACTTGGGATGCAAGTGAGACATTTCAAAGGCGAGGTCCACATATTTAGCATTCTTTTCCTGAATCTTGCCAATCACATTATTATAATTTTGGAGTCAAAGCAAAGCATCTAGCATTTGCAGGAAAATACAGTGTGGACAAATATTCCACATACATTCAGATTCACCTTGCTTGACCTCGCACAAGTTTGTGTCCCATGTCAAGTTAGCAGCATGGGAAGATCCAGTTAGTCCACGATATAGTGAGGATCGACAAAACGACTAGCATATTGCTAGCTCAGTAGTTTTTTCCAAAGTCTAGTAACAAAGGACAAGGTATGATAAGGGTGGTTTTTGGCCCACAAACAGAATTAGCTGAACACATGTTATTTGTTTAGAGACAAGATGGCTTTGCATAAAAAAGCTATTTTTTAAATGATCTGTGGCCATAATTTCAATGCAGAGGGGCCAAAAATGGGTTTTATCAGTTCCCATGAAAAAATAACAAGAAATCTGAAATATCAGTGTGCCATAATGACTTATATACAACTATCAGTTTATTTACATGCAAACAGTATCAGTTTTGCAACAGGTATTCATGATGAAGAAACATGTCAACATCAATCACAAGGTTTTAACTTCAAGGGGCCCAATTAGGGTTGCAATACATTGTGGACAGTAATTCAATTACTTGCCAATTGATTACAAAAAAGCTCATTATTCACAACTTTCTTTGCAAACATAAACTCTGTCAATTTTACAACACGTACTTATGATAACCAATCATGTCCCACGAAAAATCACAGGGGGGCCCATTTTAGGTCTAATTACATTTTGGGCACAGCTTGATTTTAACAAGTAAGTGTTAAAAGTCAGTATTCAAAACCGGTTTTAGCAAATATACAGTAAACATCTCATTCACAACATGTTATTATAATAACCAATCATGTTGCACTAAAAATCACAGGTCTTGACCTCAAAGGGGCCTATTTCAGGTGAAATTACATTCTCGGCACAGCTTGATTTTGACACCAAGTAAGTGTTAAAAGTCAGTATTCAAAAATCTTCAAAAAGTAATTATTCACAACTCATTCACTACAAAGATATATAAAACATCCACTTTCACTCTTCATCCACATGGTCATCAATCTCTGAATCAGTTTCTGAATCACTGTCAAGAACTGCAGCATTCAACCGTGTATCACTAGAGTTGCTGGAAACTGGCATATTGTTTTGGTGTCTGCAATACCCAGATCTTCTCTCAACTGAAAAACAGATGACTTTATATCAAAAGAAAATTCTTTTTAAAACTTTGATATTATAAATCTATTCAAGGGTAACATTACTTATTTATTTTCAAATGTCAGTAGTCTGGCCTTGAAGGCTTATGCAGATTCAATCACCACTGAGACATCAGTATTTCTGAAATTCGGTCACATTAAATTAGAAAATTGAAGAAAAAAATATTGGTTATTTTTTAGCACTCATATTATGCTTACCTTCCACCTCAAGTTTTAAGTTGTCATCTTCATGAAATGACACTCCTGAAATCAGTCCAAGCCAATTTCTCTTATCTGAAAACAAATATTTGAGATCATAAAAGAATTAGCATTATGTTCAAGAAGTTGGTGCTTTCTAATTTTTCTAATGCTAAACATGTCAATAGTATAGTTATATAGGGAAGGGAATTGACCTCAAAAAGCATAATCAATTGTTGAGGCCACTTTTTGATCAATTATAGATATAAGATAAAAACAACTGTTAGAGCACATGAAAACAAAGGTAATCAGTCCTCAGTTTTAATATGACAATTGAAACCAATAGTCATTGATTCTGTAAACATATTTTTAAGAAGAAAGAGTGAACGCTTTAATTGATTATGTGATTTGGTTATCGGTAATTGACTGGCAGCCCACAAAATATCCATAAACTAATTATTTGTTTGATCAGTGCACCACTAATTAACAGCTCTGGACAGTTTGTAAATATTTACTTAAAGAAATTACCATACAAACATTTTGAAACAATGCTTACCTTCTACAGGTTCTTTATTGTGTGGGAACAAAGTGGAAAAGTCAGTGTCTTCAGGCTTATACAAGATTTGCATGATGTTAATTCAAGTTTGTTTGAACAGTGTAACTTACATTACCAAACTTAAGAAATTTTTTTTTACAAAATTTGTATTTCATTTGCACAAGTTTTGTCAGCCAATTTACAATGTTTAACTTAACTTTTGAAGAAAAAAAAAGAAGAAAAGAAAAAAAACATTTTAGGATTTGAACCTGAATGTCTGATAACAGAAAAAAAAATTTGACAGGCCATCACTGTAACCACTAGGCTACAGATTCGACTGTTACTATTTGTCACTTTAAGCTTATATATTACACTTTGCAACAATGTGTCACTTGACGTCTGCTTGCTTTTCATCATCTACTAGACCTTGATACAATGTTCTTATTCTAAAATAATAAATGTAGCCTGATATATCCTAGAAAACATCAAGGTACATTATTTTTGTTAAAATGTGTATGTTTATACACAGTTACATCCAGTGGAATGCCAGTGTTATTTGACAGTGACTGGTGACACAGAGGGTTTGCTAAACAGGTTATAGAACAAATATGATAACATTCTAGCATAATTACAAAGATTCTCACCTTTAGAATGCTGCCTGATCATATTTTGAAAAATCTTCTGATGTCTTCTTATTTTTCCAGCAGTGATCAACAGGGTCTCCAAAAAACTACCCTTGTTTACCTCAAAGTAATCAGCCTTGAGAGTCCCTTACGATATTGAAATTTGTTAATAAACATGTTTGATAAGTTCATTTTAGTGCTCTAAAACATTCAAAATAGTAATGAATCATGGTATAGTTGTGTAAATGTGACGGATAGTTTTCAGAGATATTACTTTACGCCAATGTTTATTTTTGAGATGTTGTATGGGGCAATTTCATACAACAGAAAAAATGTACTTTTTTAAACATTTTGATATGAGCAAAAGCGTGACCCACCACAGTTTTTTAGGAGTGCATTCTAATTTACTCTCTTCATGTGTGGTGAAAAAATTGGGATGGGTCAAGCTTTTGCTCACACTTTTTTATCACTCTGAAAATATGAAAATGCAGGTTTTTCGAAGATATTGTAAAATAGGTTAACTTTGAGGTCTTCAAAGAGGAAAAAAACAGCACTAAAACGTACAAAAAAAACATATGGAGGTAATTTCAACAATTTATTTAGCATTTTTTATGCTAAAATTATCATGTTGTAGAACTTTGAATATCATGAAATTTTGTGGTCCAAAAAGGGCC